CCACTCCAGTGGCCCACCTTACCTCGCCTTATTTCCACAGTCCATGAGATCAGCAATGTCTGCATAGGAGGTCACAGCCAATTTAGACAAGTCTTGCACATAGGGGCCCAGGATGGGGTGCTCCCGGACCCGCAGAGAGCCCCGACTCTTGGGGTTCAAGAGGTCTCGTACTCGCTCACAATAGATCTCCATATAGCTCACCTAAGTGGAAGAAGAAAATAAGTAATAGTGTGGTGATTACCAGAGGGAAAGTGGGGGGAGGGGGTAGAAGTATGTATAGGGGGGATAAATGGTGATGGAAGACTTGACTCGGAGTGGCGAACACACAATACAACATATAGATGATGTATCATAGAACCATACACCTGAAACCTACATAATTTTATTAACCAATGTCAGCCCAATAAATTCAATGAAAAAGAAAAAAAACTAACAGACTAATAAAACACTATGAAACTTACCCTACACTCCGCTAAGTAGAAAACAATTGATTTCAGCTAACATACACTGAGCATTTACTAGGCACCAGGCATGATGCTAAGCAATTTGCATATGCTCACTGACTCACCCAACGACCCTAGGATATCGATCCCCCTATTATTATTTCACAGATGCAAATACTCAGCAGCTGAGAAATGAAATCATTTGCTCAAAGCCACAGCTACTAACTGGCAGAGCAATGAATCCCAGGCTATCTGACTCCAGAGATTGCCCTTGTTCTTAACGACTCTGCTCTCCCCCTCCCTATCCAGGAACACCATGCCCCCTCCCCACTGCCCACCTAGACCTGGGCTTACCTCCACAGAGTAGGAGAGCTCAGCACTCTGGTTCTTACTAACACGAGAGAAGAGGTCCTCGCAGAGCTGGAGAGGACACAGAAAAACTGCTGTTCACAGTATACCTGCGGCACCCAGCACCAGTCCAGGCCCTGTTCTAAGTGGCCCTGTTGAACCCTAACTCAGCTCTGAGGGAGGGGTCCTTCCCATTTTACAGATGGAAAGGCAACCTCAGAGAGGTTCACAGTCGCGCAGGGTCACAAGATAGTGTTCGGTGAGCCAGGAAGCAAACCCAGGCATCCTAACGCCAGAACCTGTGCGCAAGGCACTACACTGCACAGCCAGGAAGAATAAGACCAAGTCTCAGTTATCCTCAACTGGCTTCTTGTATAGCCACCACCTTAACTATGGTATACTCATCTACATGGAAAGTATACTCACAAGTGATTATGAAACAAGGGAAGTGGTAAGTGGCAGAACTAGGATTCAAACCAGGGCTCTCTAATGCCACAGCTTTGGCTCTCCTTACTGAGCCTTGTTGCTTCTGGTGAGGGTCCTGGATGTCCAGGTTCCAGCCAAGCCTTACCCCTATCACACCCATGTCAGTAAGGGCCTCAGAAAGCCAGTTCTCTGCTCCATAATCCTTAGATCCCAATGGGCAACTGAAGACACTCCCTCCCTGGCAGCCCTGCCAGATCCCAGCATGTACCTGGGGCACAATGCCCTGCTGCCCTGGCTCCTGCCGCCCCATCATGGTGTAGGATTTCCCAGCCCCGGTCTGCCCATAGGCAAAAATGCACACGTTGTAGCCTTCAAAGGCGTGAAGCAGCATCTCTTCTCCAATGTCTCGATATACTTGTTGCTGAGATGCAAACTGGGGGTCCTCAGCCTAGGTGGAAAGGGAGCAGAGACAGACAGCAGGAACCCTAGATGACTTTGTCCTTAGTGTCTAGGTCCCAGGAGTTTTGCCCCCATTGCCAATGATTGCCCAAAGGTTCTGTGGGCTTCCCCACCTCCATCACAGTCCTTGTCATCCCCAGGGGTTCTATTCAATCTCCTTCTGGTCCTAATTATCCCACAGGATTCTGCCTCCTTCATCCTGGTCCCAGTCACCCCAATCCCATCCAATCCCCCAGTGGTCCTATTTCCCTACAATGCCCACGCCCCAGGACCTAAATCCCCTGTCCCTCATTGCTTAGCTCTTCCCCAGCCCAACAACCTCACCGAAGTGTGTGACCAGTAGGAGTAGTCGAAGGTGAAGCTTTTGGGGCCATCCTTGCTTTGTTTGGGATTGATGATGGCTGAGGATCCAGGAGAGGGTAAAGGAAGGCCAAGGTCAGGTACTCCCAACTTCTGACCACTGCCCACAAGCCCCCAAATCCAGGCATCCTACAACTCCCCTCTTCTGTCCTAGTTCATCTCTCCCCTTTAATACTCCCCACCCCCTCCAGTACCAAATCTAATTTTGGCTTCCTAGGACCCGCCCCCACCAGACTGCCTCCTTGGATTGGGCAATGGAGAACTCCAGGCCAGCATTCCCCCTCCCAGGGACTTGGAGCATAGAAAGGCCAGCCTGCCCCAACCCCCACCCTTACAACTAGCACCTGCTCTGTGCTGGGCACAGCCCTACTCCCAGTTCAGTCCAGCAGGCCCACCCCGCCTGTGCCCAGACAGGCCCCTGGGACTCACTCACAGGTGGTGCTGCCCTGCATGCTGACCACACACTTGGCATCCTGGCTGGTCTCACGGGCATTAAAGGGCCGAACCCTCACTGCCACTTTCACCGAGGCACCAGTCATGGCTTCAGATACTCCCACCCTCCTCAGCTGGAGAACAGAGATATAAGAGGTGGTTAGAGCTGCTGGGGGGGACCTAGACATTGCCCCCCAGCTTCTCCAAGGAACCAATCTTTCCATCCCCCCTTCCTCAGCTACCCAACCCCTCAAGAACCCAGTTCCTATTTCCCTGGCCTTCCGCCCAATGTCACTCTCCTCAGGGACTCCCAAAGGTGTTCCTAGCTATATCCCAGCTTGCAGAGTTACCTGTCGTCCTGGCCCCAGACCAGGGGGGCTGTATCAGTTCTGGCTGCCACCGGCCCTCGTAGGGGGAGCCCCATCCTACACTTGGGGCCTGGCCACGCCAGCTGGGGCTGTGGGGGAACCCTGGTTGTGGGGGAAGAGTGGTTAGGAGGCACCTGTGGCTCCAGAGATGTGTTTGGGGTTGCATGATTGGAGGACAAGGGGTGGGAGTAATGTCAGGAAAAGTAAGGATGGCTGTCCCTCTGGAGTGGCCGAATGCAATGTGAATCCAAGGACAGGGATGGTGATATTTTTATTCCTCGTCACTCACAAGTGTACTGAACGTCAGATAGAGGAGAGGCTGCACAGAGGGCAATTCTGAGAAACGGACACATGGGCAGAGACACTAAGGGTGGCAGGAAGGGGGAAGTGGAGGGGCAGAAAGTCACAGACACCAAGAAAACAAGAGACACGAGAGAGAACGCAAAATCGAGGCCATGCTATGAAGGAAATAATGGGAGGAAAGGGAAGGAGAGAGCGGCCAACAAACACAGAAGTGGGAGAACAGACAGGGAGGAGAACTCCAGGGCAAGAGCACAAACTGGGAGACCAGAAGAGAAACAAGAGAGAAAATCCCAAAACTTAAAACCTACCCTAAAATTCCCACACAAGGTGAGCTAGGAGAAGTAGCACTCAGCTCCCACCCAAGGCCCACAACCTCTACCCAGAGGCAGGGGCTGCCAACAGCCAAAGTCCAAAGGCTGGAGGTACAGCCCAGGACTGGGATCCGCAGGGCCTGCCTGTGGCCCCAAACCCCTTGCCCAGCCCCCAGCACTTCCTACTCAGGATCCAGGACAATGGGCAGGGGAGGGCGGGGTCATCCTGCATCCATCCACGCCAGGGCTCCTCAGTTGAGGAAGCCAGAATACCTGTGTCTTTATGGGGAGAGGAGGGAAACACTGGGGTCTGTCCCCCTGAAAAGGGAGAGAAGGGAAAGGAGGCAGGCAGGTCCCAGCCCCTGCTGGAGGCTTATGCTATGGCGTCCACTGCCCTGGGGAAGGTGCCAGGCTGGAGCCCAGGAATGTGGGTGATCGGGTGCCCACACCCTAGGAGGAGAGGCTGGGCAGCCTACGCCCACGGAGACAGGGTGGAGAGTTTTGGAGAGATCGGGGATGCTGGGGCCCCTTCTGAGGCCCTAAAGGACCTCAAACCCCTGTCTCGTTGGCTGGGTCTCACCTCACCAGCCGTGGGGGTGGGGGTGCGGAGTGAGAAGGCTGGTCTGTCCCAGGACAGGAAGGGAGTAGCTGAAATTAGAGGCTTTCTCAGGAAGAACAGCCCTGACCCCCAGACCCTGGCCACACTGGTGGGGACACTCAGTGGTGACACCGCTGCGGCCAATGGGGCAGGGAATGAGGCGGCACGCCTGGGGGACAGCGGGGTAGAGGACTAGGGGACAGGTAGGTCAGCCGGTGCAGCGCAAAGGAGCAGGGGCTCCAGGGGCGAGCCGCGGCTGGGGACAGGCTGACCCGCCCGAACGGGGGCCCGGGGCCACCTGGACCTTGCCCGCCCGGCAGTTCTCACACAGGCCACGGCCCGGCCTTTCTGGGAGGCCGTGCGGACCCTGTCCAGCCAGCCAACAGAAGGCTGCCCGGGCCTGGCACCTCTCTGCGCCTCCGCGGGACAAACAGCACATGATCCCGGCTCTCACGGCCAGCCGGGCCCTGCCGGGTCCTGCAAACGAGGACCCCGCTCCCGCCCCGGAGCCCGACACATTCCTCCGCGGGCGTCCCCTCCCTCACCCCCTCCCCCAGCTCTCACTTCGTTGCGGCAGGGCTCCCGGAGCGGCTCGGCACAGTGCAAGGAGACAAACTTTCCGGGAAGCGTGAGACGAGAGCGGGGGAGATCCGGGGCCGGTTCGGGGCTGCCCCCGCCCCTCGCCGGGTCCCCGGGCGGCGGGCGGCGGACTCACGCCCCGCGGGCGGCAGCAGTAGCGGCGCCAGCGGCCGGCGCCCGCCCGGGCAGCGCGAGCTGGGGCGGGGAGCCGACGGGCACGCGCACGCGGGAGGGCGGGCGCGCGCCGCCCTGAGAAGGGCCCGGGAACAACTCGGTCTACTGTTAAAGGGGCAATGCCCTGAGGACTGTGGGTCGGGAACGGGGGAACTAGGTGAGGGACGCTGAACGGCGAGCTAGACGCCGGGATTCAGGAGCCTTATTGGCGCCTGAGAAGACCAGAAAGGTAGGGGCGGACCCTGTAGAAGACCCAGGCTCCGGCCCCGCGCACGTTGCCGCGGTCCGAGGCGCGCCCAGGGGGCGGGGCCGCGCGCCGGGCCCCGCCCAGGAGGTGGTGCCGCGCAGGCCCCGCCCCCGGCGCGCGGCTCGGTCGGCGTCCCTCAGGCCAGTCACCGCCTCGCTCCTCTTCCCCGCCCGGCCTGTCGTTCTAGAATTCGCCGCAGCTGCCTCAGGTGTTGTGGCCAAGTGTGGCAGGCGGCGGCGCAGCACCCGCGCTTTGTCCCTGCCTGGCCCCTCGAGCTCGGCAGTCGCGGCCGTCTCCTCAGGCTCAGGCCGCCCTCCCAACCCCGACTATCCCCTCAGGCATGGGCCCTCAACCTGGGGGCCACATCCCGTCCTCAGACTCCAGTGTTGTCCCCACGCTTGGCTGCTCCGAAGGCCTGGCCACGCCCCAGGCTGGCTCCCAGGGGTCACCTTAGCCCCCTCAGGCGAAGCCACACGCTCGGGCCTGGCCCTGCCCCCACCCCCAGTCCGGACTGACCCTTCGGGCCTCACCTGCCGGGTCAGACGCGCAAAGCCCTCCAAGGCCAGACCGCTGCCTAGGTCAACTGTTGAGTCCTCCACCTCGCTTCCTGAACCCCACCCTGTGCCTTAGATCTAGGTCACCCACTGAGACCGATCCCCTGAAGTCCGAGTGCCCCTCGCCTCCAACGCCCTCGGCCCAGGACATCCCATTGAGACCCCTCCTGCCGTTTCAGCCCCGCTCGATCCCATCCGCACCTCGGCGCCCAATGCCCTCTCCCTTTTAGACCGGAACTTTCTCAGCCATCCTTCGTTGCCCTCGGGTCAGGTTTCCGACGGGCCTTCCCTGTTATTGTTTATGTTTCCTACAGGCACTCTCCAAAGTAGCATTCGTAGCTGCTTTTCCCGCCCACCCAACCGGCTCGCAGGTAGTACTCGGCTTCCCCTCGGCCTGGCTCAGGGGAGTGAGCCTCCTCCCTTGGACTGAAGGTCCCTGTGGGGTTCCGGGTCGGGGCACAGGCCCGGGTGGCAGGGCCCCATAGCCAGGTGGGGGTGGGGGCAGCCAATCAGTGTTTGTCCCTCACACTGATGTTTCTTTTTTTTAATCCTCACCCGAGGACATCTTTTTTCCCCCCCGCATTTATCTTCAGATAGAGCGGGAGGGAGTGAGGGGGAAGAGAGAGAGAGAGAAACGTCAATGTGAGAGAGACTCATTGGCTGGTCACCATCCTCACCACCCCAACTGGGCCGAGGACAAACTGCAGCCCAGGTATTAACCTTAGCGGAACCGAACTTGGGACTCTGGTCTGCAGGCTGGGGCTCCAACCGCCGAGCCAAACCACATTGATGGGCTCACATTGATGTTTCTATGTTTCTCTCTCTCTCCCGTCCTCTCTCTTTAAAAAAATCAATAAAAACATAAAACCTAAAAAAAATATAAAAATTTGGCTTCCCCTAATTCTGGTTCTGTGCAATGGGCCCTTGCTCACCTTCTTTACCTATAGACATTCTCAAATGTTCTCTCCTTCCCTGTCACCAATCCACCACTCTGTCCACCCTTAACTTTCATTAACCCTTTATACCTGTTTTTTTTTTTTAACCAACCTTCAATTATCTACCTGCCCCAACCACCAATTCTATATTCCACAACCCAGAACTAGGGAAACTTCTTCCTTAGTCTCTGTCTGTCGTCATTTTTCATTCCATCAACTCCTATTGCCAAGTAAGCCTCTTAATTGCCATCTGTAAGTTTCACTTTATACATTTGGCTTCAGAAAATGTATTTTCACCCTGGCTTTGGTTTGGTTCAGCGGTGAGAGTGTCGGCCCATGGGTCAATGAGTCACGGGTTCTATTCCGGCAGAGGGCATGTACCTTGGTTTCTCTTCATCCCCAGCCCTGGTCAGGGTCATGCAGGAGGCAACCAGTTGATGTATCTCTCTCACATTAATGTTTCTCTCTCTCTCTTCCTCCCTCCCTCCTTCCCGCTCTATCTGAAGATAAATGCAAAAATATCCTCCAGTGAGGATTAAAAAAAGAAAAGAAAATGTATTTTCCCCTTTATCTTTTACCCCATCCACATTTCCTGGGCTCTCCATCTTCAACCTGTATATTCAGTTAATAGAAATGTCCACCCCTAGAAATACCTTTTAAGCTCTTTTTTTTTTTTTTTTTCGGGACCCATATGTCCTCTTTCCAGTCTCTAGATCTGCTACTAGTCTCATCCCTATAGCCATTTACATGAGTGAATGATTCATTTTTCATTATCCTCCCAGCACCAATGAGGAGATTCAGTCCAGCCACCCAGCCCAGTCCAGTCATGCAGGTACATGAAGATGGAGACAACCTCATCCCCTTTGCCAAGTGAGTCGTCCCCACCCAGTGGGGAGAATGGGGACAGAATGGAGGGAAGATTGCATGCCTGGGTTCTTTCCTAAGAAGAGTCAGAAATAAGGAACAAGAAGCTCAATGTCTGGCTCAGGGAATTGATGACGCGTTAATTTATTTAACAAATAGTTTTTGAACACTGCATTGTTCTAGGCACTGTACTAGGCACCAGGGATTCAATAATGAGAAAGACAGGGGTCCTGCTTAAAGAGCTTACATTCTAGAAGGAGAAGACGGAAAGAATATGCAAATAAATAATTTCAACTAGTGATAAGTACCATGACAATAAATAAAACAGGAGTGTAATATAATGGAAAAATAGAATGTTGTAGAGACATATGTTTAGATAGGGCGATTGTAGAAGTCTGTTCTAGGGAGGTGAATTTGAATTGAGATCTTAAAAATGAGAAGGGGCCAGTCTGATAAGAACTAGGAGGAAGAAAAAGAAATAGGTTTTATTTCTCTCCCTCTCTCTCTCTTTTAAATCTTCACCGAGGATATTTTTCCATTGATTTTTAGAGTGGAAGGGAGGAAGGGAAAGAGAAACATCGATATGAGAGGACACATGGATTGGTTGCCTCCTGCATGACCTCGATGGGGGCTGGGGATCAAACCTGCAACCCAAATACGTGCCTCTGACCGGGAATCAAATCCAAGACTCTTCAGTCCGAGGGCCAATGTTCTAACTGCTGAGCCAAATTGGCCAGAGCAGGAATAGTAGATTTTAAAAAGCCCCAAGAAACAGGCTTGGTATCTTCTAGGACCAGGAAGCAAGCCAGTGTAACTGAAACTTAGGGATCAAGGAAATACAGAAAGTAAAGTTAGATAGTTAGGCAGAGGACCTAAAAGCCCATTGAAAAGAATTTGGATTTTATCCTAAGTAAAGAAGAGATCAGTGGAAGTTTTTAAGCAATGGAATGACATGAGCAGAATTTTATTTCTTCAAATTTTTTATTACGAAAAATGCAAACAAATACAGAAGTAGAGAAAGTATCAATCATGAACCCAGTGTACCCTTATTTTTGAAAAGTCAGCTTCAATAATTTTCATTAAATGGATAATCTTTTCATCTGTATACCCATCCAGCCTCCTACTAAGATTATTTTGAAGAAAATTTCAAACTGTACATCATTTTACATGATCATTTTTTTTTTTTATTCTCACCCGAGGATATTTTTCCATTTTTTTGTACAGATAGAGTGGGAGGGAGAGAGAGGAAGGGAGAGAGAGAGAGAAACATCGACGTGAAGGGACACATCGAGTGGCTGCCACCCGCACGACCAACCAGGGCCGGGGACAAACTGCAACCGAGGTACGCGCCCTTAGCGGGAACCGAACCCAGGTCTCTCCGGACCGCAGGCCAACGCTCTAACCGCTGAGCCAAACTGGCCAGGGCTACATGATCATTTTTAAAAGATTGTGCCCTGGCCGGTTTGGCTCAGCGGTTGGAGCGTCGGCCTGCGGACCAGAGAGTCCCAGGTTCGGTTCCTGCTAGAGGCACGTACCAAAAAAAAAGTTTATAGGGGATTAGATGGAAGCAGGGAGAGGAGGAAGAGGCCATTGCAACAGTCCAGGCAAGGGAAGATGAGCTGGAATATAGTGGTGGGAGTGGAAATGATGAGGAGTGGTCAAATTTGGGTTCATTTTAGATGTAGAACTGAAAGGACTTGCTGATAGATTGGATATGGGAGGTAAGGGAAAATGAGGCATACCAGGTTTTTGGCTCTAGCAACTGGGCATTTGGGGTGCCTTTCAGTGAGATGGGGAAGGCTAGGGAGATGTTGAGTGGGCAGCTGAACCTGCAAGTCTGGAGTCCAGGAGAGGAGCCAGGGCTGGGAATGTCGATTTGGGAGTCATCAGCACATTGGTGGTATTTAAAGTCATAAGGAAAAAATATAAAGTTATGGGCCTGGGTTAGATCACCTAAGGAGAGATGGGACAGAAACGATAAAGGGCTCAGGTCTAAGCCCTCAAACACTCTCCTTCTAGAGAGTAGTAGAGCAGTCATCATTCAATATGCGGGCTTTGGAAGTAATGAGTACTGTTCTCAAACAGTTCTGTACATCCCCCACTACCTATAAAGAGTTGGTCTTTGTGAGATAGGGGAGACAAAGCAGGAGTAAACAGAGGTTCTACTCTCCTGCATCCTTGCAATAACTTATTTATCATCACCTCGGTAGCTAGGGACTTCCTCCTTAACAGCCCTGCTTTGTAAATACGATGTTCTCATATAGATTGTGGGGTGTAGAAGCTTGAGATTCAGTGAGATTTGAGGCTTGACAATTGCCAATCTCCACCTTCATCCCAGCTCCAATCTCCTTTCAAATCAGAGGCTTTACCACCTTCCTCAGCTAAAATGGATTAAGTGAGGACAGGGCCTGAGGCAGCCTGGGCAGCTGTATAGTCTCATGAAAAGAAAGGGCCTCTGAATCCCTGGGGTGAGTAGATGCTGAAAGGGAAGAGCCAGACCTGAGCCTACCTTGTCCTCACCTCAGGTGTTCCAGGGTGGTCAGGCGATCTCCACCCCTTAGTTTGCCTTCCCAGAGCCTCAGACTGACACCCCAGCGTTATGGAGACATCTTCTGGGAGAACCTTAGTCAAAGACCCAGGTGGGTAGAAATGGAGAAAATGAGAACTAACTAGAGGTGGGAAGGTGAGGCTGTAAAATTTTAAATAATCATAAAGCTTTATAGCCCTAACTGGTGTGGCCCAGTTGGTTGGAGTGTCATCCTGCATACCGAAAGGTTGCAGATTCAATTCCCAGTCAGGGCACATACCAGGTTGTGGGTTCAATCCCCAATTGGGGTACATGAGGAGGCAACCAATCAATGTTTCCCTCTCTCTCTCTCTCCCTCTCTCTCCTTCTGTCTCTGAAATCAATAAAAGCATGTCCTCAGGTGAGAATTTAAAAAAAGGTTTTATAACAATATGCAATAGTCTAGGGATAACTGCCCCACTGACTGATGGACACTGTAGCTCCTAGTGCCAGACAGATAGGTGGTTGGGAGAGGTCATTAGAGAAACAACATGAATGGGGTTGTCTTCTCTGCATTTAGCCCCCTTTCTGTGCTTCACAGCCCTACCTGGATGGAAGAACAGTGCATTCCATCCCTGCCGGTATGACAAACTTTCTGCCCTTCAATACTTCTCAGTTAAAATTGCACCTCAGCTCTCCTTATTATGCCTTCCCTCTAGTATCCCCCAACCAGAACACTGAACAGGCCCTCCTTTCTATGGCTCAATCAGAGCTGTTTTTGTGATCTGGGCTTCCCAAACCCCTGACTCCCTATTTCAGTCCAAGCTCCCCTGAGAGCCCTAGTTCTGCCATCGATTTCCTTTTCCCCATTCTTTGACACAGAGAGCCACTGGTTGTTCCCAGCCCAGGGTGTATCCCCCTGAGGGGCTCCCACCCCCTGAGATGCTTTGCAGAAGAAAGAGAAGGAGGCCATATTTGGCAGGAATGCAGCAGGGACCTGGGGGCATCCCAGCTCGAGTAAGGGCTGTCGCTTACCACCTAGAGGATCTAAGGAGGAGACAGAAAATCATCAATGAGTAAGAAGAGACATCTCTGCTCTGGGAGCCAAGCAGAATGGTTTGGAACTAAGGAAGGGGGCAGTGGAGTATTTTGAAGGAATCATGATCTTGGTGGAAAAGCAGCAGAATGTGGAAAGAAGGGAACTAAGGGATAGAGAATGAGCCACATAAGCTAGAAGTGGAAACTGGATCACTGAAGACAGGAAAGCACTCCATAGAACTGGAGGATAGTGGGGAGCTAGAGGTCACTTCTGATTCCTTGAACTAAAAATACTTCAGTTTGAGGGGTGCAGAAGGTTGGGAGTGGAAAGTTAGAAGCCAAAGGACAATGCCCCTGGGTCCCATCGGAAAGAACAGTGAAGAATGGAGAGACAGGCAGCCTGGCCTCCAGGTACCTCTTTCCTAAGCCTAAGTCTCCACAGACTAAAGAAGGCCCAGTGGGGCAGCTCTGGGGCTGCATCTGAGCCCCTGGTGCCTGGCAAAGCTGGCTGCAGATTCCCCAGCAGCACTGAGCACCATGATCTGGAAGAGGAGAGGGCAACCTATCCACAGGAAGAGGACCACTTTCTCCCTCCTGGCAGGGCCCAGGTATGGTTGGAGAGGAACCTGGTGGGGTGACGGAGGGCGATGTGGATGGATGCTTTGTCTTACATGGAGAGACAGCAGAAGCCAAGAGTCAAGTTGGACTGCTGGGTTTGAGGGGAACAAACACAAAGAAGGCAAGAGTCAGAGACTTTAGGGTATCTGGATTTGGGCACTAGGAAATCTGGAGAGAGACATATTTTGCCATTCTTTCATTCTTTTTTAAATTTCTCTCATCCTTACAGCTGCTTTGGTCTCCTTGGAGTCCCCTGGTCCAGGAAGGATCGTGTCTCTCCAGGCTGAGCTCTCTACCCCCCTACAGCACTGCCACAGCCAGTAGGAACCCCCTTTACAGTAGCTGGGGGATGGAGTGGCAGTCTGAGGAGTAAGGAGAAACCAACCATGCCCATCCAACATGCTAGCGCTGCCTCAAGGACCCAAGTCTCCTTCCATCTCTGGAATCACCCCCATTTCTGGGGTCAAGGCCTGTCCCTTTCCTCAGCCTCTCCCAGTTTCCTCTCCCATCCTCAGCTCTAGGCACTAACAGCCCCCTCGACCCCCCATCTCAGCCCACCCCTCTCACAGGAACTCCCCAAGGCTGGTTGCGGCCCAGGGTTCGCTCCCTGGCAGTGTTCTTTTCTCCATTCTATCATTAAAAAGCAAACAAGTTGAGCCCAGAGTTGTCTTTCCGGGAAGCAGTGATGAAGAGGCTCTTGGACAAGACCCATCTACAGTAATGTCGGGCTGAGTCCCCCAAATTCAAGGAGCCATGCCCTGGGCGAGAAAAGCCCTGCCCACCCCCCAGTCCAGCGTTCCTCGCCCAACATTGGACAGCCACCCGCGCCTCCCTTTCCCGGCTGGAGGGTCACACCAGTCGGCCGAACTTCCGCCTCCTCCAGGACCCCGGAACCCTGCCTCTCCATACTGCTGCCTCCTCGGGGACTTCGGGGCAGTGAGTCCCTCCATCAGCGTCCCACCCAGAGTCCCACTTGTGCAGCACCCAGGTTCCCTTCCTGACACCCTTCCCCTTAATTGGGAGGCCCCGCCCCGTGCGCAGTGACGTCAGACGCCGCTGTCAGTCGGCGCTGGGGGGGGTCGGTGTGGGGTAGAATGGCCGCTGCCGCCGTCACCTGCGGGACCCCGGGAGGTAAGAGCCAGGGCTTCTTGCCCACCTTTCTACCTCCGCGCCAGGGGGCGCAACTCCGCCGGTTGGGACGTGGCGCGCCACACCGGAGACCACCGCCCCTCCGGGTTCGCTCCCACTGCCCGCTTCCGTCCTCCTCCCCCGCGCCAGGGGGCGCCGCTCCGCGTAGGCCCCCACCGCGGACCTGCCGCGCCCGGACTGCCTTAGGGACCCCTGCACCCCCACTGCCCCTCGCCCGCCGTGCGCCCGCGGACTCTGCTCCGCAGTTTCCCCAGAACATCTCTGCCTTCGGGCGGGAGGCAGGACCTTCCCACCTCGGAGGTGCTTCTGGGACCACCGCCCTATCGTGGGGGGCTGCCTCTGGGCCCGCTCCGCACCCTCGTAGGCGGCCTAGCCCGGACTGCGCACCTGCGCCCTGGGGCGGAGTCCTTACCCCAACCCACGCAGCCGAGCTTGGAGGAGCCTCCCCCCTCTTCATCCTTGGACACCTGGCGGAGCCTGCGCCGAAAGCCTCCTCCAGCTTCCATCTGTTCCCTCAGGAGGGTGGGGAATCAGGCAGGAGTTAGAGTGGGAGATGGTGTAGGGTATGCCCGGAGGCCGGGGGAGGCCGGGGAAGGCAGAGGCGTTTGGGGAGGATGGGAGAGAGATGGGTAAGGGGTGGAGAGGGCTGTCAGCCTCTGGGTTGTCCAGAGGGTGGGAAGCTGGGTCCCAGATTGTACTAGGCCTTGACCAGCCTGGACCAGAGAGAGAGGTTAGGATCAGTTGTCAGATCTGTCTTTTCCTCTTGGAAATATCAAACAGGGAAGGGACTCAGGGTGTGTCTTCTAAGGCCTAGTTTTCCACTCGGACTTATATCTCCTGCCCACCCCCCACCCCCCAGCATCCAGGCTCTCATTTGCCAAACCGTTCTCCAAGGACCGGATGCCCTGAGTCCCAGTCCCCAGGACCTGACCCCACTGAGGCCCCAGCCTCCCCAAGAGCCCATGCTGTAGGACGCAAGCCCTGCCAGTTTCTCCCCTCCCCCACCCGACTCTTCCTGATTACTCTGTTCTGTCGTGTCTCCCCATTCACGTTGGTTTTTGACACCATGTCGGGGGTTCGCCCCTCCCCCATTCCCTGGCTCTACTCTCACATCAAAGCTTATCCCCTTCCCCTCTCTTCCTCATCTTTCCCAGATATTATGACCCAATTCTGTACTCTCTCCCACCTCATCCTCCTCATCCTGGATAAGTGTGAAGGCTTCTGCCATGACCTATTCTCTCTTTTCCCAGCACAGACTCCCCCTCCCCCGGGCCCCTCAGGCCAGGGGTGACCTTGCCCCTGGAGCCCTCACCATGAGTACCAAGGACACCACCGAGGTTGCTGGTGAGTTCACAGGTCCAGGTTCCCTCTTTGGACACAACCGTTCTTTTTCTCTGCCCTGTGGTGACTGTCATTCTTGGATTCTCTGCTCTCCTTGTCATTTCAGTTTCCCTCAGTGCTCTTAATTCAGCCCTTTGTCCCTGGGCTAGCACGCTAAGCCCTCCTTTCTGATTTCCTCTAGAGAACAGCCACCACCTGAAGATCTTTCTCCCAAAGAAGCTGTTGGAGTGTCTTCCTCGATGTCCGCTGCTGCCTCCAGAGCGGCTACGGTGGAATACAAATGAGGTTTTTAGGGAGCTTGTGGGATTAGGGCTACCAAGGTCTGGTGAGCTAGAGGAGGGTGAATGGGCATTTTCCTGTGTCCACAAGTGCAGAGTACCATTCTGAGCTCTTTGGGGAACATAGGAGAGGTATAAAGACCCACATCTTGCAGGAGCTCACTTCTTGGCATATCCACCTGAGTAAAAATAATAGCTACCACCTTTAAAGTGTTTCTTACAAATCTGGCACTGTGCTAAGCACTTGACCTGCATTATCTCATTCTATAGCTCTAACAATGCTATCTATAGAGCATGCACTGGTGGTATGGATGAGGAAACTGACTTACCTCATATAGTTTATCCAACTTACTCTAGAACTTCTGCTTTTAATCATCACTGATACTTGCTCCTTCTGGAGGACATAGGCCTGTGTTACACACCTTCAGTACTCTACACCCAATGGTTTGTATGTACTTGGTAGTTGATCATTATCGATTTGATTAGATGAGACCTGTCACTAAAAAGGTGTGTGTGTGTGTGTGAGAGAGAGAGAGAGAGAGAGAGAGAGAGATTGTTGTAAATAACTGAGGGGTCAGCAGGGCTTCATGGAGATCTGGGAAGGGATTTGGTCTGTAGGATGGCTAGGATCTCCAGACTCGAAGAGATGTGTACATGGCACTTCAGGCTTGTAGGGCATTAACATTGAGGAGGTTACTGCTCAGGGCAAGTTCAGGGAAGAATCAATGGACCAGTCTGGCAGGAATGGTAGGTGCAGTATGGGTAAATTGTGTGAATGTAGGAATGATGGTTTGATCCCTGGTCAGGGAGAACCTTAGAGTCAGGCTCAGGAATCTAGAATTCCTGGCAATGTCAAATTATTGACATTTTCTGAGTCAGGAAGTGGCACAAAAATGGAGTTTGGAGGGAGTAAATAATATGCAGTGTGAACAAAAAATGATGAAGAACTTAAGTTGGACCTGGCCCCAAGATAAAAGCCCCAGTTGGAAGGGAAGGAAGGAAAGGTTAGACGTTTGTCTGCGATGGAACCTGGGGTTATTAGGAGGGCCGTGGGGCTTGCTGGGTCCAGATACCTGATAGCATCCTCCATTAGCTGCCAGAACTCAGTAGAGAAGCCAAACTGAGACTGTGTGAAGGGGACACCCACCTGAGTACCTCCTCTCCTACAGGAGATTGCATCCTACTTGATCACCTTTGAGAAGCATGATGAGTGGCTATCCTGTGCCCCAAAGACAAGGTGAGAAAGTTTGTGAAAGTGGGAAGTGGCAGGGCTCCTGGGTTCTGTTCACAGAACTCAAGGCCAACCCTTCCCTCTTCAGGCCTCAGAATGGCTCCATTATCCTCTACAACCGTAAAAAAGTGAAATATCGGAAGGATGGTTACCTCTGGAAGAAGCGGAAGGATGGGAAGACCACCCGAGAGGACCACATGAAGCTGAAGGTCCAGGGCATGGAGGTAAGCAAGGCATCCAACTCACCTGTCCTGGCACACCCTTCTCCACCCTTAGCTGGATTCCAGCCCTGCCAGGACTTGGTGCCATCGTCCGCCTCACCACCCTCCCTTCTCACTCACTTTGCATCAGCTGGCTGATAGTTTAGCCCACCCTTCACATCCCATTTCACTCCATGTCCCAACTCTCTAGGCCTCAGACCATGCCTCCCCTGGAGGACACTGATGCCCAGTCCCCTCTCCTCTTTTGCATTTCCCTCAGAGGTCCAAGTACTAAACCTCTAAGCACAGGTTTCTCTTCCCCAAATCGTTGCTCCTCACCTCAGGTGTGTTTTTGCCCTGCCCTGTGATTTCTAGATAGTCCTATGTCTCAAATGCGGTCTTCATTGTAAGGCCCTAGTCCTACTGTTCCCTTCTTCTACTGCTCATCTATGTTTTGGGGTGCTGGGATTTTAAAGATGGGAATAGATGGGGGTGGGTAAGGGTTGAAGAGGAACTTGTGGAAAGATTGGGATTCCTGCAAAGGGACTGAACAGAGGAAGAGTTGGGGAGCAGACTAGCCCTCCCCCCACCCCAGCCTGTCTCCTGGCAGTGTCTCTATGGCTGCTACGTTCACTCTTCCATCGTCCCCACATTCCATCGGCGCTGCTACTGGCTGCTCCAGGTAAGGATGGAAGAGCTCAGGGAGCCACATTCTTCCTGGCTCTGTGAGGGAGATGGGGTCTGAACGGATGCATTGGAAGGGTGACTAGGTGCTAAGTGGGAAAAGGAGCCTGGGAAGAGTTGGGATAGAGAGAGCCAGAACTTGGGGGTGAGTTTGGGGGTGTGCCTGGGAAGAAAGGGAAGATTAGGAAGTTGAGCCCCTGGATCTCAGGCCCCCATGGTGCTCTGTGTGTGTACCCTTGTGCCCTCAGAATCCTGACATCGTCCTTGTGCACTACCTGAACGTCCCAGCCCTGGAGGATTGTGGAAAGGGCTGCAGCCCCATCTTTTGTTCCATCAGCAGTGACCGTCGAGAGTGGCTGAAGTGGTCCCGGGAGGAGCTGTTGGGACAGCTGAAGCCCATGTGTAAGGCAACAGGGCTAGGAAAATGCTCCAAGGGGAGAGTGGAAACAGGGCCCTCCCAAAGGCACCAGGAGCCTGTGGGGTGACCATT